AAGGGTATGAAAACCACTCAAGTTTCTATCAAGTAAAGCATACAAAAATTTACATCAGAGATAGCTTCAACCTCATTTTTTGTGGCATTTCATCAAATTATCAATAAATGCGAAATTAAAGCCTGTAATAGCTTGACTGTATATATGTGATATTCAACAAATAGAAAATACTGCACTATAAGTACTGATGAAAATTGGAAAATGCATTTCAGAAATGTTTGACAGTCAAGAGAGCCTGAGAGCAAAGCTGAAGGAGGTGTGGTTCAACCGTTACTGCAGGGATGCCAAAGATGCTGATGATCATCCTTTGCAACCCAAATGCAATGAGGGCTCAAGTGGGTTTGAGCATGTTTTCTTGGGAGAGCAAAAATCCAACTCCATCAGTGGTGTTCATGGATGGATCTACCTGGCCCTACAAGAACAAGCAGGAAACATCAACTACTTTGGCCACATGACCACCAGAACTTTTGGGGACAAGGTACACAAATTATAGGGCATAACCTGAAAATGAGCCCATGCAAAGTATTTTTATACAGTATATACTGCATGTACTTGAGTCTCTCATGCTGGAAAATGTGACAAAATTTAAAAATGGATTTAAAATAGGAAATCATAACTTCAGGCTCAGTTCAAGTCAACATTTAAATTTTCATAGATTTTTTTTTAAATAAAAAAATTCAATAAGAAAGATTCCTGAATCTTACTTCTGGCCAGATTTTCATGCAAAATTTTGCTGGAGACTGGGGAGAAGAGCATGGTGTATATTCAAGTATGAATTTGTTGGAATATGGCAACATTAGCTGGTCATCAACCCTCCAGTTAATTTGAATTATATATTATTTTTATATAAAAAAATCTTGGTTGACGCAAGACCAAATGAGGGAAGAGGATTCTCTTGAATNGCATGGTGTATATTCAAGTAAGTATACTATGTACAGTGCTTAAATTTGTTGGAATATGGCAACATTAGCTGGTCATCAACCCTCCAGTTAATTTGAATTATATATTATTTTTATATAAAAAAATCTTGGTTGACGCAAGACCAAATGAGGGAAGAGGATTCTCTTGAATGAGTAGCAGCACATCAGCCTCTTGACACCATGCAGCAGCTGATGTGCCAGAGCTGACCAGCTCTTTGCACCACCTCTCCTCTGCTAAACACCTTTGTTTATACATTGTTTTGTACCTGATATATACACAGGGCAGCGCCATTGAATTCGCCTTCACCTGGGACGGACTGAAGAAGCCCATCTCCAGTGTGTTTGTGGGTGCCAGTCCCGAGTTGGATCTGGCATCCCTGAGTGTCTGCTTCCTCCTGCGACCCAACTCTCTCTGCTCCGTGTCCATCTCCGGCGTGGGAGTCAAGATTCAAACTTACACTGAGGCCTACAATGGCCAGCAACTGGTGGGGACGGCGTATTACGATGTGTCTAGCTGATGAGGATCATCCGTCATCAGAGCAGGAGACTGCACGTATATACCGTATACCATGATGATTGCTATATATGCTGCACTTGTGTACATTAAGTCTATCCCAACGTCGGGTGTTGGGTTGGGCAGCCCTAAACAATACAACAACGATAATAAAAAAAAAGAAGCAATGCGCTTAACCCCTTGTATATGAAACCCGCTGTCTCTCTGTCTCT